TCAGTCGAATTTTCTAAACCAGTTCAATCGCAATCAACAACTGGAAATAAGTAATTCTGATTCCAGATTCCAAGTAAAAGGACAAAATGGTCGCTGCATCAAAAAATATTGATTGAAGGAACTTGGGAACCATCATAAAGGAGTCTTCACTCAAATCTACATGAACTAAGGACCATTTATATTGTCATATGAAAACTCCATCAACTACTCAAAAGTCCATTGTTATCTATACGGACAGACAACAGAGCAGTGGCTGCATATATGCTCACCAAGGAGGCACAAGGAGCAATCTATTCTTGCAAGATATAGCTCCCCTAATGACCCTGGTGCAAACTCACATCAGAGGGATAAAAGCAATATACCTGCCTGGGGCATAAAATATCCTTGCAGATTTCCTCAGCAAAACACGCATTTTACCAGGCAAATGGAGTCTGAATCCCAAGGTTTTTCAAATCCTGATGAAGAGGTGGGACATACCCCAGGTAGACACTCAAGTGGCAAACTTATTTTGTCTCTCAAAGGACCCTCAATCCCTGTGTAAAGATACTCTTTCTCAGCCTTGGAACTTTGATCTGGGGTATATGTTCCCTCCCCTACCTTTTGATTCCCCGGGTATTTAAGAAAATTTGGAAGGAAGGGAAGAAGGTGATCCTCTCCTGAGGATGACCTTCTAATACAGGGCCCAGCAACTCATCCAGCTGGAACCTGGGGGCCTGGTTGTTGAAAGGAGATGCCTCTTTAACCAGTTATTAGCAGTAATTAATACTCTTCTGCAAGCAGGGATACCATCAACTTCTTCTTGCTATTACTAGATTTGGGAAACCTTCAAACAACTCACCTCCATATTTTGGAGTTTCTACAGGCAGGCCTTGATAAAGGTCTAAGCCTAAGCACTTTGAAGGTACAGTCCTCAGCTTTATCTGCCCTTTGTAATACATCATGGGCATCACACCCTCTCATATCTACATTCTTTAAAGCTACAATACATTTACGCCCTCCAGCCAGAAACACAGCTCCTCCATGGGATTTACCAATGGTACTGAATGCCTTAACAGAACTTTGCCTTTGCACCTCTCCAGGATATGTTTATTCAACACCTCACTTATAATACTGTGTTTATAGTGGCTATCTCCACAGCTAAGATAATCTCTCAACTTCAGGTATTTTCTAGTGATGATACTCACACTCTTGTCTTTCATGACAGAGTGATCCTAAAATCTAGAGAAGACTTCCTACCAAAATTAGTATCTAGGTTTCACTGCTTCAGGAAGTGGTTCTTCCTTCCTTCTGTTCTTCTCTGTCTACTCCAGAGGAAGAGAAATACCGGGAACTTGATATAATTAAGTACCTATCTTCCACCGTTGAGTTTAGGAAAACCAATAAATTATTTGTACTGCCTACCGAACTTCGTAAAGGAGAAGCAGCCTTATCTTCTACCTTAAGGTGCTGGATAGCTTCTATTATAACAGATTCCTACTTATGGAACAAACTAACTCCAGTAACTTTACCTCCAGTAAAAATTAGAGCTCACTCTACCAGATCCCTGGCTACATCATGGGCTAATTGGATAGAGGTTCCTCCGGATGACACCGGTAGGGCAGCCACTTGATCTACTTCAACAACCTTCATTAAGCACTACAAACTGGATCTTCAGACTTCTACTACTTCCTTCGGAAAGGGAGTCTTATGTGCAATTACTATGCATAATCAAAATTAGATATACTTTATATTTTTTCTCTTTCCCTCCCTTTGTGTTATCAGCTTTGGTATTATGTGTAAGTGGTGCTGCCATGATTAGCCAGGAATAAGGAAAATTAAATTACATATTTACCTAGTAATTATCTTTTCCTGGCTATTTATCATGGTAGCATCAGTCTCCCACCCTTCTTTTATTTTAACTAGACTGAGGAATAAAAGGAGGAGGGACCTTTTATGCATTCAGTATCTCTTTTACTCTTTTTTTTTTTTGGCTGATCCTGTACTGATCTGGTTAGGGGCAGAGTTACCCATAAGTGATGCTGCAATGATAAATAGCCAGGAAAAGAAAATTACTAGGTAAGTATGTAATTTAATTTTTTCTTATTCTTTCAGTCTCATATTACATCAATTTCCCTTCCTACATTTTGTATTATTCCAATCTCTCACTTTTTTTTTATCAGTGTTTTTCTGCTTTGGTAGAGACTTTTATTTGGACTCTTTTATTTTATACAAGTATATATGTTTTATTGGAGATACTCTCCTTACTTTTATCTTTTGCTGCCAATATTGGAAAATAAACACTTTACTTTTTAGTAAGTGTTCTCAGCTCCATTTCTTTGGGTGAACAGAAGATCCTCAGAAGGAGAGGGACACTACTAATAGTCCCAGTGCTGTTTCCATGAGAGCCACATGTCTTTGTTTGGCTCTCGGTTTGTGAGTTCCTGACCACTTTTACTTACATCTTGGCCACCAAGTTGCCGACAATATTACACTATATTGCAGTTTATTTATTTTTTGTCTAGATATTGTAAGAAGTGTGATCCACCTACTGTATGTATTGCTTTATTTTTCTGCTTCATGTTGTACATGTCTCTGTTACCCATCTTCTGTCACTTTCCCTCTATTGCTCGTTCAGTTACTCTTTTCCCTATGCCACTTTTTATACTAAGGATGATAAAGTTGATTTGTTCCTACTCATAGCACCAGTCTCACTTTTAAAAACATTATAATAAGTTGCGGTTTTTATAGTGCTTTTCTCCCTGTGAGACTCAAATCACTTTACAAATATAAAACAGACATAAAAGTTAAGTGTTTTTGATAGTCAGATGAGCTGACTGAATGCCGGACAAAAGAGGTGGATCTTTAGCTTTTTTTATAAGGTCTGTTAGAATGGTGCCTCTCTGATTGAGGAAGTTAAATAGTACCAGAATGTGGAGGAATGAACTTGAGTTTGTCTTTATTCTGGGCACCAACAAGAGGGATTTGTTGGCTGACCGACGTGAGCAGTATGGTATATACGGTGTCTGTTCTTTCAGGCATTTTTTTAAATGGACACTCCACTGCCTAAATACAAATTAAATATTAAAGAACACTGCTTAGTAGACAAACCACAAATGAAAACTTGCATTTAATTATGCTTTTTTTCATTGGTGGTATATCTAAAATCAGCTTGCAAAACCTGCAGTCTCTTGCATGCTGTTTTTGTAAGCTCTCCCTTTCTAGCCCCGCTAGAATCACAGACTGCCCAATACAGCTCAATGAGAATATCTGTAAGTCAGGTGCTCTGGGCACTCTTGAGGTCAGCTGCATTGAGTTAACAAAACCAGGAAGTAACATTTACCTGTTGTCTGCTTGAAAACCAAGGGGGTGTAACCAGATTTATAAAAGTGTCAACTTCTGTTGAAATCTCTACTTTTTGCAAAATGAATAACAGAGAACCCACTTTTTACATATAGCTTTTCAGCAAGCTAAAGTTGTTAGGTTATGTTGCCTGATGATTCACTCCAGTGGTAGCAAATAAATTGTGAATAGCATGGGAGACAGGCCAATACTTTTGGTGTTGATGAGTTGTTACTCTCTGTGATCTACCAGTGAGGGAAAACATGTAATCAGTTAAGAACTGTGCACAGATGTGCTGTAAGGGCTCTATTAAAATACAATTGTCAATGGTTTAAAATGCAGTTGAGAGATCCAATAGAATTTGTCTCTCGCCATAAGGTCCATTTAGCACTCAGACTAGTGCTGCTTCCATGCTGTGGCAGCATCTGAAACCTAAATAAAAAGGATAACATATGTTATAGATGGGCCTCCAGTTCGGCTGCCACTACATTTTCAATGATTTTCCCCAGATATGGAAAGTTGGATACTGGTCTTTAATTCACCACGCAGAAGGGTTTTACCACAGCTTCTTTAGAGCAGTGGTTCCCAACCTTTTTTCACTTGAGCACCCCTTGGCAACCCATTTCCATAAATTCTACCCCTTCCATTAGCAAAATGTTTGTAATTAATATAGTTGCATTTATTTCAAAAGTATACATTTTTCCCTGTCCCATATCCTCTTTCTCTGCCCCAGGCTCTCCCTGCTTCTCCTCCGCCCAAGGCTCTCCCTGCTTCTCCCCCGCCCCAGGCTCTCCCTGCTTCTCCTCCGACCCAGACACACAAACTGTCACACATGCAGACACACACAAACACTGACACACATAGATACAGACACACACACAGACACCTGCAGATACTCATATGCAAACACTGACACACATACAGATACACACACTGACATACATACAGGTACAGATGTACAGACACAATGATGCACAAACATACAGATAAAAACACTGACATTCATACAGACTCACAAAAACATACAGATACACACACTGACACACATATAGGAACACAGATACTGTAAAATCTGATTGGATCGATCGATGTTAAATCTTATTAATTATTTCTTCTCTTCAGTTGATTGATTTATACGTCTTTTGTATATATAGTCTTGGGCCAAATGTTCGCCACAATAATATATGTCTATATTAATGAAAAGTACTAATACGCAATCTGACTTACGGTTTCTTCAGGTTTATTCTTAGTTACTGATACATAATAAAACAACAAATGATGTTACAGGATAATGGACATTCAACAGCAGATGGTAATTGCTGGACTCCTGATGGGAGAGTTCAGGGGCGGACTGAGAGCCTTTGGGGCCCCCGGGCAAAATTAAATATAATTCATAATACGGCATTCCTTTGGATGTGTGTATTGTGAAGACCTGTGTATCAATGCATGTTTGTATTTGAGTCTGTGTGAATGCACTTGTGCATGTCTGGATGACTACATGTGCTTTTTTGTATACCGTGTCTGTGTGAATGCATATGTGACAGGTGACAGAGTGTGTGAGGGAGAAGGTGACAGGTGGAAGAGTGTGGGAGGTTGTGACAGGTGGCAGAGTGAGGGGGTACCTGGTGGCAGAGTGAGGGAGGGAGGGGTTGAGTGGTGGCAGAGTGAGGGGGAGACACAGTGAGTGGGGGTGACTGGTGACAGAGTGAGGGAGTGGGTGACTTAGTGAGGGGGTGGGTGACTAGTGACAGAGGGAGGGAGAGGGGGTGACTAGTGACAGAGTGAGGGAATGGGTGACTAGTGGCAGAGTGAGGGAGGGAAGAGATGACTAGTGGCAAAGTGAGGGAGGGAAATGGTGACTAGTGACAGAGTGAGGGGATGACTGGTGTCACCCCATCCCTCTCTCTGTCACTGTGTCACCCGCTCCCTCACTCTGTCACTAGTCACCCCCTTACTCTGTCACCCCCTCCCTCACTGTGTCACTAGTCACCCCATCCCTCTCTCACTAGTCACCCCATCCCTCTCTCTGTCACTAGTCACTCCCTCCCTAACTCTGTCACTGTGAAGGAAGGGGTGACTGGTGACAGAGTGAGGGAAGGGATGACTAGTGGCAGAGTGAGGGAAGGAAGGGATGACTGGTGACAGAGTGAGAGAGGAGGTGACTAATGACAGAGTGAGAGAGGGGGTGACTAGTGACAGTCACCCCCTCACTCTGTCACTAGTCACTCCCTCTCTCACTCTGTCACTCCCTCACTCTGTCACTAGAGTGAGGGGGTGACTAGTGACAGAGTGAGGGAAGGGGTGACTAGTGGCAGAGTGAGGGAAGGAAGAGCTGACTAGTGACAGAGTGAGGGAGGTGGTGACTGTCACTAGTCACCACCTCCCTCACTCTGTCACTCGTCACCACCTCCCTCTGTCACTACTCCCTCCCTCCTTCTGTCACTAGTCACCCCCTCCCTCACTCTGTCACCAGTCATCCCCTCTCACCCCCTCACTCTGTCACCTGTCACCCCCTCACTGAGGGAGGGGGTGACTAGTGACAGAGTGAGAGAGAGGGTGACTAGTGACAGAGTGAGGAAGGGGGTGACACAGTGACAGAGTGAGGGAGGGGGTGACTAGTGACAGAGTGAAGGAGGTGGTGACTGTCACTAGTCTCCCTCACTCTGTCACTAGTCACCCCTCCCTCTCTCTGTCACTAGTCACACCCTCCCTCACTCTGTCACTAGTCACACCCTTCCTCACTGTCACTAGTCACACCCTTCCTCACTGTCACTAGTCACCCCCTCCCTCTCTCTGTCACTAGTCACACCCCCTCCCTCACTCTGTCACTAGAGTGAGGGGGTGACTAGTGACAGAGTGAGGGGGTGACAGAGTGAGGGGGTGACAGAGTGAAGGAAGGGGTGACTAGTGACAGAGGGAAGGAAGGGGTGACTGGTGACAGAGTGAGGGAGGGAGTGGGTGACCAGTGACAGAAGGAGGGGGTGACACAGTGACAGAGTGAGGGAGGTGGTGACTAGTGACAGAGTAAGGGAGGTGGTGACTGTCACTAGTCACCACCTCCCTCACTCTATCCCTAGTCACCCCTCCCTCTGTCACTAGTCACCCCTTCCTCACTTTGTCACTAGTCACCACTTCCCTCCCTCACTCTGTCACTAGTCACCCCCTCCCTCATTGTCACTAGAGTGAGGGGGTGACTAGTGACAGAGTGAGGGAAGGGGTGACTAGTGACAGAGTGAGGGAGGTGGTGACTGTCACTAGTCACCACCTCCCTCACTCTGTCACTAGTCACCACCTCCCTCTGTCACTACTCAATCCCTCCTCCTGTCACTAGTCACCCCCTTTGTCCCTTACTCTGTCACTAGTCACCCCCTAACTCAATTTGTCACTAGTCATCCCCCTCTCTCACTGTCACCAGTCATCTGCTCACTCTGTCACCAGTCACCCCTTCCTTCCCTCACTCTGCCACTAGTCGCCCCTTCTCTCACTCTGTCACCAGTCATCCCCTCACTCCAGTGACAGAGTAAGGGAGGGTGTGAGTAGTGACAGAGTGAGGGAGAGGGTGACTAGTGACAGAGTGAGGGGATGATTAGTGACAGAGTGAGGGAGAGGGTGACTAGTGACAGAGTGAGGGGATGATTAGTGACAGAGTGAGGGAGGGAATGGGTGACCAGTGACAGAGTGAGGGGGGGTGACTAGTGAGGGAGGGGGTGACTAGTGACAGAATGAGGGAGGGGGTGACTAGTGACAGAGGGAGGGAGATGGTGATGTCACTAGTCACCCCATCCCTCCCTCTGTCACTAGTCACTCCCTCCCACTCTGTCACTAGTCACTCCCTTCCTAACTCTGTCACTAGTCATCCCCTCCCTCACTCTGTCACCAGTCACCCCCTCCCTCTGTCACTGTGTCACCCCATCCCTCCCTCTGTCACTAGTCACTCCCTCCCTCTGTCACTAGTCACCCTCTCCCTCACTCTGTCACTAGAGTGAGTGGGTGACTAGTGACAGAGTGAGGGAGGGGGAGACTAGTGACAAAGTGAGGGAGGGAAGGGGTGACTAGCGACAAAGTGAGGGAGGGAAGGGGTGACAGAGTGAGTGAGGGAAGGTGTGAAAGTGAGTGAGGTAAGGGGTGACTAGTGACAGTGGGGGGGGGTGACTAGTGACAGTGAGGGGAGTGACTAGTGACAGTGGGGGGTGACTAGTGACAGTGGGGGGGTGACTAGTGACACAGTGAGGAGGAGGTGACTGGTGACAGTGAGGGGAGGTGACTAGTGACACAGTGAGGAGGGGTGACTAGTGACAGTGGGGGGGTGACTAGTGACAGAGGGGGTGAGACAGTGACAGTGAGGGGTGACTAGTGACAGTGAGGGGGGTGACTGGTGACAGGGGCTGACTGGTGACAGTGGGGGGTGACTGGTGACAATGGGGGGTGACTGGTGACAGTGGGGGTGACTAGTGACAGTGGGGGGGTGACTAGTGACAGTGAGGGGGTGACTAGTGACAGTGAGGGAGTGACTAGTGACAGTGGGGGGTGACTAGTGACAGTGGGGGGGTGACTAGTGACACAGTGAGGAGGAGGTGACTGGTGACAGTGAGGGGAGGTGACTAGTGACACAGTGAGGAGGGGTGACTAGTGACAGTGGGGGGGTGACTAGTGACAGTGAGGGGGGTGAGACTAGTGACAGTGAGGGGGGGTGACTAGTGACAGGAGGGGGGGGTGACTGGTGACAGGGGCTGACTGGTGACAGTGGGGGGTGACTGGTGACAATGAGGGGGTGACTGGTGACAGTGGGGGGTGACTAGTGACAGTGGGGGTGACTAGTGACAGTGGGGGCTGACTGGTCACAGTGGGGGTGACTGGTGACAGTGTGGGGGTGACTAGTGACAGTGAGGGGGGGGGGTGACTAGTGACAGTGTGGGGGCTGACTAGTGACAGGTGGGGCTGACTAGTGACAGTGGGGGCTGACTAGTGACAGGTGACTGGTGACAGTGGGGGTGACTGGTGACAGTGGGGGGGGTGACTGACTAGTGACAGTGGGGGGTGACTAGTGACAGTGGGGGGGTGACTGGTGACAATGAAGGGGGTGACTGGTGACAATGAGGGGGGGTGACTAGTGACAGGGGGTGATTAGTGCCTACCTGTCTGTCTGCTTCCTCTCCCGTTCCCCTCCTGGGCTCTGTGTGAGAGGAGTAAACAGGAAGTGAGGTCACTTCCTGGCCCCGCCTCTCCCATCACACAGAGCCGCATGGGAGAGGAAGCAGGAGACCTGGCAGAGAGGAGGTGAAGCTGCCAGGTCTCATTGTGGGGGTTGGGGGTGTGACTAGCAGAGCGGTAGGTTGTGGGGGCCCCGCGCTGCATCAGGGGCCCCACAACCTATTGATTAAATAGTTTTATTTTATTATTTTGCTGTTCCAGTTGGAGAGATCTCTGATCTCTCCAGCTGGAACAAGGCTGTGCTGCCGGGCCCCTGACTGCCTCGGGCCCTCAGTCCATGGCCGATATGCCCGAGTGGTCAGTCCGCCCCTGGGAGAGTTACATCTTGTACAGGAAAGAGAGCCAAGAGCCAAGAGAGAGAGAGAGACCTCGTATTCAGTTACTATAAAGATATAACCATAATGATGTCATAACTCTAGCAATATAAGGACAAAACCCCCAACTTACATTCCAGAGCTCACATACAAAGAAAGCCATGTGACTTAGACTATCTGTTACTTATGTCAATCCACACACCCATATATAATCAATAGAAACATAGAATATGCAGTATTCTACATTCCCTCTGTTTATGGTTTGTTCTAAAACCATAACACAATTTCACTAACCTGTCCATTCATATATCACTCGTATCACAGTCATTGAGCATAGAACAAGATGTAGTCACAACTTTCTATTATATGAGAGTTCTTGGAAGGTTTATATCTCTCATACTGCTTACTTTACTTCAAACTCCCTCTGTTTCAGCTATGTATTGATATCCATATCCATGTTACATCATAACTACTTGAACATAATATGTACATATATATATATAACAATAATAAATGAATAAAATAAAATATTTACAAGTGTTGATCCAATAAACAATGTAAAGCAATCAGAAAGATCTACCTGCTCTGGTACAGTCATGTCTTTGTAGATAACAAAATCAAGATGATAACTTTCTAGATAATAACTGTGTATCACCATCATATTCCTAATAAAGACACATATAACAAAGTATTTTCATTCTCAATACCTGATATTACTAAAGTACTAATACACGTATTACTATAATATCCTGTCCAATTATATTTCCATGAATCATATCGTTTCTAGCAACCTTAAAATCTTTAGGTCATTTGTATTCATGAATTACATCCCTATACCATTAAAACCACCTAGTGATGATTGTATCAATACTTTACAATCATAGTATTTAATTTGTATATTCAGTAGGCTCTCACTAACTGAAATATATCAACACTACTTACAAGACTCATAATAGTTTGCAAACCTTCAAAGGTTGTGTTGTTGTCAACCATGACGTTTTATAATTATTCTTCAAATAATGTTCATGGTGTTGACAATACTTTTTGTTCTAAAAATTCTCCACCCAGAAATCTTTCTATCATAGATTTGTTTTTGTTTACATAATTATAATTTTGACTAAAATTCCACCTTGTAGTAAACTTTTCATTCAACAGAAACAGTTTACTTTAAAAGAACTTGGAAAGAATAATTTAAATTCATTATCATCACTCTCTTAATTAGACCTTAATTGTGATGACTTATTAATGTAGTACATCTTAAAAGCAGGATTGTCCTAATGTTCTGACCAATCTGTATTCCTTAGTACACTTCAACTGACTAAATTAAAATAAAATAAACTTGGGGTCATACTGCCCAGAAACTCTTATTCCTAGTCTGTGTCTAACAAACTCAGGGAAATCATAACAACGTATTCAATTCACTGGATACCGTCATATCCAGAAACCTTTTCTCCCTAGTCCATACGTTTATAGACTTAGGTCAAATATAATGTGTACTATACTCTTAACTAAACTTCAATTCAATTCCTCTTGGATCTCTAAACTCTTATATCCAAGGCATTCTTAATGTATACCATTACTTAATATTAATCAATATAAATTATCCTTCCTTATGTTACCATTGTTTGTTTTACTCCACCTCGATATAGAAACATAGAAACATAGAATGTGACGGCAGATAAGAACCATTCGGCCCATCTAGTCTGCCCAATTTTCTAAATACTTTCATTAGTCCCTGGCCTTATCTTATAGTTAGGATAGCCTTATGCCTATCCCACGCATGCTTAAACTCCTTTACTGTGTTAACCTCTACCACCTCAGCTGGAAGGCTATTCCATGCATCCACTACCCTCTCAGTAAAGTAATACTTCCTGATATTATTTTTAAACCTTTGTCCCTCTAATTTAAGACTATGTCCTCTTGTTGTGGTAGTTTTTCTTCTTTTAAATATAGTCTCCTCCTTTACTGTGTTGATTCCCTTTATATATTTAAATGTTTCTATCATATCCCCCCTGTCTCGTCTTTCCTCCAAGCTATACATGTTAAGATCCTTTAACCTTTCCTGGTAAGTTTTATCCCGCAATCCATGAACCAGTTTAGTAGCCCTTCTCTGAACCCTCTCTAAGGTATCAATATCCTTCTGAAGATACGGTCTCCAGTACTGTGTACAATATTCCAAGTGAGGTCTCACCAGTGTTCTGTACAATGGCATGAGCACTTCCCTCTTTCTACTGCTAATACCTCTCCCTATACAACCAAGCATTCTGCTAGCATTTCCTGCTGCTCTATTACATTGTCTGTGTATCTGTTTTTCAGTGTGTGTGTCAGGGTACGTGTCTGTATGTGTGTCAGTGTATGTATCTGTGTGTGTATCTGCATGTGTGTCAAGGTATGTATCTGTGTGTCAGAGTGTCTGTGTTTCAGGGTGTGTATTTGTATGTGTGTCAGGGTATGTATCTGTGTGTATGTATGTATCTGCGTGTCAGACACACAGATACATACCCTGACACTTACAAATACACACCCTGAAACACAGACACTCTGACACACAGATACAGACCTTGACACACATGCAGATACACACACAGATACACACAGATGCACACCCTGACAAACATGCAGATACTCATATATACATACACTGATACACTTAAGGATACACAGATACATACACTGACATACATCCTCACACAGATGCATACCATAAGACACAGATACACACATTGACACACATGCAGATACAAAGACACATAGATGCACACCCTGACATGCAGATACACACATTGACACACTTAAGGATACACACCCTGACACACAGATGTACATATACATACACTGATACACTTAAGGATACATACCCTGACACACATACAGATACAGACACTGACACACATCCTCAAGCACAGATACATACCCTGAGACAGATACATGCATTTACACACATGCAGATACAAAGACACATAGATACATACACTGACACACTTAACACACAGATGCACACCCTGACAGAGATGCACATGCACAGACACACATGTAGATACATATACTGACAAACATGCAGATACAAAGACACATATACACACACTGACACTTAAGGATACGTACCCTGACACACATACAGACACTGACACACATCCTCATGTAAAGATACTTATCCTGACACACGTGCAGATACACAGACACATAGATACATACAATGACACACTTAAGCATACACGCCCTGACATACAGATACACACATTAACACACACATGCAGATACACAGAGATACACACACTGGCACAGATAATGTGCTGTCTGTGAGGGGTACTGTCTGTGATGGGTGCTGTGTGTGACGGGTGCTCTCTCTGTGTGTGTGTGTGTGTGTATGAGGGGTGCTGTGTGTGTG